AAGCTTCACCTCTCTCTTTCTTCCTGCCTTTCTCCTTCTCTCCTCTCTGCATCCCTTTCCTTTCCAGCACACCATTTCACCCTCTACACATTTTCTCCTTCTCTCCCTCCTCCCTCTCATTCCTCTGGATCTTCCAGATGAGTAGCTTTCTTGGCAGCTTCACAGATGCTAAATAATTTATTGTGGCTTTAAACTCAGAGATCAATTGTCTGATGTCTACCTTGGTACTATGTTGATTTTATTCATCTTTGGCATCCCTCCTTGCTGTGGAGTCAAAGGCTTTCTTATCCTGCAGGCCTGAAGTGGTCACCTTAGAGATATTAAACATACATACATTTCTTTTTCAGCAGTGTGAAGCCATATTCTCTGAAATGGTCTGTTTATTTTCTTGGGAGGGGATTAGTAGGCTGGAGGCATAGGAAGAAAGGGGGTCATGAGATTGACTTTTCATGTCTCGGGCTTTGGGCAGCCATCTCACACTACCCCCTTGGCCACGTGGATTCCTAACCTCCATGTGTGTGTGCATGTGGGTCGTGTCACGGCCCTTTGGCTGTGTAGTTCATCTTGCAGCTTTTATTAATTCAGTGAGATCCTTGAGGAACTGTGGTGTTCTTTGTAGTAGCCTGATGAACCCTGGCTTAGCTGCTTGTTGTTTTAGTTGCTTAATCTACCAAAAATTATAGGCAAGCCATGTTAGAAAATTGATGGTTCCTATGTAGTGAATAGTGAGCATATAGGACATGCCATTTTATGCCAACTTGGGATAACTAATTTTGAAAACATAGAAACACATACTTACAGATAAAAGCATTTGCATAAGACTACACGTCCATTTTACTGGAGTTTTCAAAAGGCTTTTATTTTTTTTAATGCATTTGGATGCCTTTTTCTACCTAAAGAGAAATATTCATTTTTTACATGACAAACAGCAGTGGAAATGTCCTCAAAAGTTTGCACTCAGCCCCGCAGGAGGCAAAGATCTGCTGTTTGCTGGGAAGTATCTGATGTGATCTACTTTGCTTTGTTCCCTGGGCATGATTTTTTTTTTTTTTTTTGCTTGTTACCTGGAGCTGCAGAGCCCTGGTTTGTTGGATTTTGTGCATTCTTGTCCAGAGGTCATTCTTGTCCTGGGGTCAGAAGGAGGATGCTGTCCAGCTGTACTCCTGACGCTGCCCGCTCTCTGCTGAAGGCACGGTAAAATGCACAAACCCTCACTCTTAACGTTCAGCCATGCCATTGACTGTAGCTGCCTGCACGATACTCTCTGCTCACCTGTGGAATCCCCTGACTTTCCTCTGGCATCAGGAAAAGTGTGCCACATCGATTTTTTTTTTTTTTTTCATGGTCTGAGACAGCTCTCCCAGCCCCCAGGGTAGCCCTGGGACCTCATCATATAGAGCTTGAGAAAGGAAAACCTTACGTATTTAGCCTTCTGTTTGCTCACACGGAGAGGCACACATAAGCCAGGAACATAATATATTGTTCAAAATGCTGATTTTGCAAAGGACAGGGAAATTATTTTACTGATTAAATATTCATGATGTGCTCGTATATTACAGCAGTAGGTCTATAAATACATGGATGTATTGCTGGCTGGTAGGAGGATTTGTAGAGGAAACCATTCTCTTCCTTCTGCCATGTTCTGACATCTCCACGTACACAGAGAATCGCAGCACATGCTTGCGATGATGTCTGTGGAAAAATTTGCTTTAATTAGTTAAAAATAATAAAGTACAACAATGCATTTTGTTTTAATCTGTCTTTAAAACTGAAATACTCCAATAACTAACAGTCCTGTAGGTTTACTTTATAAAGCTGTAAATATTTTACCAGAACACTTGAACTCTCAGGACAACTGGGGCAGTTGTAAATGACCTGGCATAGTAAAAACTCTTCTCTCTTCATGGTATATGTATAGGTTTCACGTTTTCTTCCTTATCATGTGAGGTTGCTTTTTTGAATTCATTCCCTTTGTATCTCACACAGCTGCGTAACTCCTTGCAGGCACACACGCTCTCAGCCCTCCCTCAGACATCTGTTCTGCTTCTCAGTACCAGGTGCCAGAGTTTGAGCTTGTTGGGAGGAGGGGCAGAGACAAAATCCTTCAAAAAAATTGGAGGTGGTGATATTTTTAACAATATTTGTGGTGGAATTTCATTTTTAACCTCTGTTTATCAAAAGAACCCAAAAGGCATTAGCTAAAAATGCAGATTTTTTTTTTTTTTCAGGCTTTATCTGGGAAAGGTCAGGCTTGGGTGGGGGTTGGCTTGTTGTCTGGAAAAAGGCTTTCCTCCGAAATTTTTCCCAAAGTGAGCATACTGCTGTAGCATCACAGCAGTAAAAGGCCGTGGCAACTGTAAACCTGTACCTAGTCTGGGATTATTTTTCCCACAAGGGAATACATTTCATTAGAAATATAGCTGTACCCTCATCACTAAATTTTGGTCCACAGAAAGTGGAATACCTTGCTTCTGCTTGAAACACACCCACTATGTGAAATCTTCCAAGCATGCCCTAAGCTACCATGTGGGCTGTCAGAGCCAGAACATTTCCCTCAGCAAGCAGCAAGGAGCAGGTGAGCACCATGGGACCATTCCCTTCCTTAATCTGGGAACAAGTGGAGTCTCCTCTGCTCCTCCCTCTGCCCTTATCAGAAGGGACTGTCATGGTCACCCACTTGCAGACTTTGCTGTGAGTCCTGGTCTAAACTTAAAGAAGCTGAACACAGCCCAGTACCTTTCTCTGTCTTTTCCTACCGGCTGCCCTGGGACATTTTCCCCTCACCCTCTTGCACACACCAGAGGCATGGCCATACTGCTTCTGGTTTTTACCTTCTCACCCAGGCACCTTGCTTCTCTTCTGCTTTTCTTCATCTGGATAGGTGATATGTAATGTAAGTGATAAACCTAGAAATGCAGATTAAATGGGATCTATTTCAGTGGTTGTGGTCTGGGTGGTAGAGCTTATGGTATGAAATGAAATACACTGAAAAATCAGCTCTGGCAATGGAGCAGGTAGGTGGGAGCTGCTCCGTGGTAGCAACTAGCGAACTTGCTTTTAGGAAGGAGGAGCTTAAGTTGCTCTTTCTCCCTCTTTCTTTTCACTTCTCAGGCATGTCTGCCTCTTACTCTTGCAGTCATGGAAGGCACAGAAGCTCTCTGTGGTCCTAAGTACTCCTGCAGAGACTTGAGAAAAATCTCTGCATCTTCCAGCGTACTTCTGAGAGGCAAAACATGAGGAGTGGCTTGGCCACTTGCAGGCTCAGGCTGAAGCGAGAAGCATTAGCTATCAGAGGAGTAACTTTCTGGGATGGTCTTCAGACAATACACAGGGGGCAAAACGCTTAACAAGAGGAAATGACAGTCAGCAGATTTAAGCCAGATAAAGTGGAACACTTTTTCCCACACTAATAATTAGCCTGTGAGACCAGAACTTTTGGAGACCAGATATTCAAGAAGGGATTAGACAAATTCATGGAAGACTAGTCCACCAATGGCTATTGAAAATGCTGGTCTGGATGCAGTCTCCCAGAAGATTCCAAATGCTGATTGCTGGCAGCTCAGCAAATCTGTCAGGGATGACTCCATGCATGTTTCTTGTGCTCTTTCTTCAAGCAATGCTGTTGACTTCTCTCACAGACACCATGCTCAACTAAGATGGGCTTTGCTTTGGTCCAGTGTGTCAGCGCTTAATGGTTCTTAAGATGGAGCTTAATCACTTGATGGAACAGTCTGCATGACACTACCTCTGGCGTTTTTACGGGAATGATCTCGTAGGTCCCTCCAGTAGTTTGGTCCCATGCCTGAGCAGTCTCTGCAAGGGAACAAGAGCTTGCCACGCTGGTGAGGCACTGCTGTATGCTCTGAGCCACAAAATGGCCACCCGGTCATTGGCCAGTGCCCAAGCTGGCCAAATTTTTGGGAAGCTCCAAGATGCAAAGCTAATAGGGTTGTCATTAATAAGAGATGGTTTCTGAGAGGTGTGATGTCTGTTTAAGGGTTTTATGCTCTGTAAGATAGGCCTGAAAAGGACAAAACCAAATAAAGAGTCTCTAAGCCTTTTCTACTGTGGAATTTGCCTGCCTTTGGTAATATTCCTTCCTGCCCCCGTTTTTGTGTGTACTGATAAATGTCCTTGCATTAATAAACTCATGAGGCATCTTGTTTATCCCTACAAAGCCAGCCCTTGCAGCTTTCATTAGCATTTTAGGATATTTATGGCTTTGTAAAAGACTGAAAATCTGCAATTTGTCATTAGGAATTAAGAAAAATCTTCCTTCTACTTAGGGCTGAAGCTCAGCTTTGGCCTTTGAGGGACTGAGCCACCTCTGGGCCTGGTAGACAAAAACAAAATCAGACAGTGCCCAGATTTACAGCAGCAAGTGGCTCTTAGTTACTCAGTTGTCTTTGATAATGTGTCATCCGCTGTTGCTGGCAGGAATCAGTGTTTAGGCTCAGAATTAATTTCTCTCTAGCTGGAGAGAAAACAAAAATATCTCTTCTGCAAGAGGAAAAAAAAAAGAGGTAGTGACAGGGAGAGAAATTAAAACAGCACCAGGCACGTGTAAAAATGCATGTATATATATATTGCATATACACATATGTACACACCCTGCATAGAACAGAGAGAAAGTGCTGTTCAGAAGAAAACATTGTATTTCACTCTGTCGTGCTCTGTACTTTCAGCTTCGAAATCCAGGAAGTTAAAAGCATTTTTAAGGTTTCAAAAGGGAGTTTATCTTATAATTGGTGAAGGGTTAAAGAGTTGGTTGGGGAGGGATAATAATCAAAGGAGCCTTTTCAGCACTAAACTGTAGTCCAGAAAATCAAAAGGAGGAATGTTAATTGGTTTGTACAACATTATATTCTCAGTTCAGAGTAGCTTCAGCCACTCAATGGTACTTTTTCTCTTTTCTCTGTCTTCATAGGTTGATTAAGTGAATAGAGAAAAAAAAAAAGAAAAACGAAGCTGCTTTCAAGTATTGAAGATACAAGGCCAGGATGAACACGAAGGACACAAAAGTGACTGAAGGAGGTCTCAATGTCACGCTTACCATACGTCTTCTCATGCATGGCAAGGTGAAGCATTTACTGTTGCCACAGCAGTTGCCTGTGTATTGAGCGAGTGCGTGCAGTTACTATTGGAGCCTGACAGTGGCATTGACAGAGGGTCCACTCCTCCTCCTCCGACTTGAGTCGAAAGCACCATTGCCCTGACCGAAAAATCACCCCCTGCCTTTCAAGGCATTACACTTAAGTTTGCACTTGCACTGCAGCCCGAGTTCACTGGAGCAAACCCTGCCTCCGACAAACCCGGTTTGAGCAGATCCAGTGGCAGTAAAAGTGCTCTTTCACTGATAGTTAGCCAAATCAGGCAGACCCTTGCACGAGGCTGACCTGCCCACGGCTCGCCTTTCTCATCGCTTGCTGGATTTTGCAGGCGGTTTTTGTTAAGATACCAGTGCATTGACTTATGTGAAACAATTGCCACAGAATTACTGTCTATTTCTGTTGAATGCAAATGGGATAGTTCTTCGTTATTCTGCTGTAGCATCTTATTAGAGCAAACCCCCTGATATACCAAGCATTCATCCAGGTCCCCTGCGGGTTTGTTTTGGGCAGTTGACTGTCGTTTAGTTTCTGTCCAGCGCAGCACTTAAGCATGCAGATAAGTGTGAAATCTGTGCCATGGACAAAGAGCCAATTCAGTATTGTCAGGCTCAACAGTCTGATAGCCGTTTATTTCGCATTGCCAGATTACAAAATGGGCTTTTAATTAAAAAACACATTTCATAGGTTTGTTTGCCTTATTTGCATCAGGCAACACCAGGCGTTTTTAGGCTTAATGAATGAATGTTATATAAAGGAGGTGGTTTTGGCTCTTTCTTAACAAGGGACAGCGAATATATAGATATAATTTTGGAGATCAAATTTGTATATATGAATCTAAAAAGTATTTTTACTCCTAGAATTTAATAACTAAAAATACATTTACATTTTAAAACAGTCCATGCTTTCAACCTATGTCATGAACGCACATGTGATATACCCACAGCACAAATAAGAGACTAAGGTATCTCCCTATGTACTTTTCTTACAGAGCTTCTAAGAAGTATGAGGGGATACAGTTTAAGTTTGCAAATTAAAAAACTCAGAAGTTAGGTTATGCCAGATCACATTCTGTATTTTCAGACAGGCATCTGGTGTGTAAAATCTGCATCTTAAATACAGATCTGTCAAACCAATTTAATAACAGTCTCTCTTATCAAACCCACCTAAAATCTGTGCGCATGTCTGCACTCAAAATTAGGTCTTAGGTGTTGATTCTACTGGATTCTGGTCCCTATCCAGAAAACTGTTTGAACACATCCTTATCCCGGTGGGCCTAAGTAGCCCTACTGGTTTCAGTCAAATTCCTGTGTGCTTAGGTGTGCTTTGCTCTGCTTCTTTCAGAGTCATGCCATTAAAGCAAAAATCAAACATTTTTCATTTTCAGGGCATTTTAGTTAATTTGTGGGCTAGGGGTTTTTTTGAAACAGAAGATACAGTAATCAGAAATGAAATTAGAAAAAGCTAATTTTCTGTGTTAAACACCAATGATTGTGTGTGCAGCCACTTTTAACAGTAATGGATGTCATGTGTCCAATCTTCAATGCATATGTAGCCCCAAGGGTCTAAATTAAACCTATAAAAGCTGCAAAGTTCAAATTTTAAGTGGGATTATACCATGTATCCTCAGTTAACAAGGCACGATGGGTATACTGTTAACTCTCCTATGCTCTAATCATGTATCCTATTGTGCCTAAGTATTGCAGAGAGTACATTAAATCAGAATTTATTTTGGTGATAAAAGTCAGACCCTTATGGTTTCTTTGATGTCATTTCTGTGATTTAGAAATGCTAATATAGAGGAGTGAAGGATGCCTGAGTCAATATGAACTCGGTGTGAGAAGGTCACTCTGAAAGCAGTATGCGCCTCTGAATATGCCTCTGAAAAAGAAGGCGGTGGCTCTTTCTTAAGATTTGTTGTGGTAGTGACATCGCTGGAAATTGCTGATCTCTAATTAGTATTTCTAGACAAAACAATTAACTGAAACAGAGCTTGGGCTGTAAATAACTGGTCATAACTTGAAAGAGAAGAGGGGAATTAAAAGGTTGTTTTTAAAAATAACAGTAGCAAACTGGATTCAGTTAGATAATTTTAAAGTAAGATAATTTTTGAAGTTATTAATTTGTGTGTTTCATGGAAATATGAGGGTCTACCCCCACTAACCGTAAGCTCTGTCTCTAAACCTCTATTACCAGTGCACCTTTGCATAGGGAAGGTCTATGTGTTTTGTGATTTTTGCATTCATTTTGATTGAAAGTCCATAACTTGTGCTACTATGCTTAGTTATCTCGGCTGTAAATCCTGCAGAATTAGGAAATTTTCAGCGTATACTTTTCATGGCATTTGTATATGGGCTTTAAGTCAAGTATGGACATCTTAATTATGCAATTAAGCCTAATTCTGCACCTCCAGACAGAAAAATCAGGATTTGTATGAACGGACAGACCTGCATGAGAGGGTAGGGAATAAAAGAACATTTTTACAACAGCAAACAAAGCAAGTAGCAAAAACCAAAGACAACATTCGTGTCTGGTGAAAGGAAAACAGATGGGAACGATCCTGAGTTCCGTACAAAGCAAGTAGCAAAAACCAAAGACAACATTCATGTCTGGTGAAAGGAAAACAGATGGGAACGGTCCTGAGTTCCGCGAGAATCCAGGGCCAGTGCTTCCCCACAGGTAGGACACCTCTCATCAGCTGCTTTGCTTTGTCTTGCTTTGGGAAAGAAGCGGCTGCAGGTCCCAGCTGAGGTGCTGCGGGGCTTTGTGCAGCCGCCTACAGAAGAGTCTGGGACGGCCACTTGGACGACCAGCTTGGCCGCTCCTCAGTGGCGTAGCAAGATTTGGGCTGGCAACGAGGCAAGGCACAGCCTTGATTTTCTCAGGGCAGAAAATGTGATGTTAAGAGAGGGCAATAATTTTTTTATCTGTGGAAGCAGCAAAAAAGCTTGTGCGGGCCCAGCAAAAAGCTAACTGCTGCGAGGCATACAAGGTTAAGCTCAGGGTAAACGTTTCCAGGGCCTGATATGAAAGGGGTCCTCCTGAGCCAGGACTTCAGAAAGGTGTGTGATGGTGTAAGATGAAAGGCCTAATTTTCATCTTGTGCCATGTTGCATCAGTAAAAAGTTACGATAGTGCGACAGCCCTGAAGAGAAACCAGGAGCAATACAAAACATTTCTCATCCTTTCTTGCAATGAATCAGAGGGCAGGTGTTAGGGAGTACACTACAAAGGCAGCGCTCAGATGGTCTTCACAGCCACAGAGAAGCAACCGTCTCTATTAGCAGGGAATTTCAAAAGCAAAATTAGGAAAAAGTTCTTACGCGGATTTGTAAGGAGGGGAGGAGGCTGCCCGGGCATGCTGCAGCATCCATGACTGGAGGTTTTTAAGGACAAGTTAGACATACATGAACACATCCCGTAAAGCTGCTGTGGCCCTGCAGCCTCCACTGCCCGGGACATTTTTGACTGAGTTACCCGAGTGCTGCTCTGCAGAGGGCAGGAACTGAAGAGCCTTTTGGAACATGTGCAGGATTTGGGTATATAGGGTATATTAAATAATGCAGAGATGCATTTGCATCTTTTATTAATGAGAAAAATGAACTACATTAAGGCATAAAGCTGTTTCATGCATTTCAGGGGAGAAGAACAGGGAATATGGGCTGGGGCTGTTTGCATTGCCCTACTTCTGTATTTTTCACCTAATCCCTGCTGTTTCTTGAAGTAAAATAAGTAAAATCGCTCTGTAGGGCAGAGATGTGAATGGGTACAGATATTTTATTACCTTTGTGTGCTTTAAAAGTAGAATTTCTAGGCAGGATTAGAATATTGCAGTGATTGCAAGATTTCTGCTTCCAGGAAAGGCAAAAATGGCAGCATTTACCCAAATCAGATCAACATTTTTGAAGGGCTTGTGGAACACAAATTGAGTGTGTGTGCTCTCGTGGGTAAACAGTCCCCAGCTATCAGAGCCCTCTGTAAGGAAAGGCAGAGCTCAGGCTCCAAAAGAAACATCTTTCACTTCTTCTTACTTGTTTAGTTTTTGTCAAAATCAAACTTCTTTTGGCTCTCTGCATGTTACAGGGTCTTTGATGATGAAGCTCAATGTTTCTCTCCTATCATTCCTTGCTCACCTTTTGCTGAATTTTTTATTCCCATAACTTGTGGCTGTTTTTTTTTCTTGCTTATTGCCACAGGTAATGAGGTTGGAAGACTGTGGAAAATTGTAGCCTTGCCCACAGGTCTCTGTCAACAGACTTTAGTACTTGACATCTGCAGTGCTCTTGTTCTAGTTTTCATAGGTTCATGCCCAGAAGGAAGTAACTCTTGAAAAAGCACCTACCTTGACTATACTGGATAATGATTACAAGATTTCGGACTGCTTTGGATTTGAACGCAGCCAGTGTTAACAGGCTGATTAAGACTCTATAGACACTCACCATTAAAGTTAATTTTAAATGTGGATGGCAAAGAGACTGTGCTGGTAGAACGATGTTAAAATTTAGGAAAGCAGCTTAATGGAAATTTAAAAGTCGGGTCCATGAGGTGGAACAGGAGAAAGCGTTCGAATGTGCCAACATGGAAAGGGCAGCAGGGCCACAAATCCACTTTGGTCTCCATCTCATAGTGGTGGCATGGGAGCGTCTGCTTCCTCCCTCCAGTACAAACTTCAGAAATAAAAACGCATCACTTCCAAATGCACTACATGAAGGTGTGCATCAGTGAAACTATATTTGGTGCAGTGTAGTCTGCAAGAAACCCAAGTAGAATATGTTAAATACTGAGTCTGAGGAATCTTTTAGAGAAAAGGGAAGGAGTTCAGAAATAGAAAACAAAATGGATTAATGAAGTCAGGTGGTTAGGAGGAACAAGGAAATAATTTACAGGTAGAATGAAGGAGGGGAGAGAAAACTGGTAGGGAAGTAGGACTCTTGCCAAATACCGAGAAGTGTAAATTGGAGAGTTGAGGC